AAGCAAATCGACACCGTGGCTGCTGAGTTCCCTGCCCACACCAACTACCTCTATCTCACCTATAACGCTACCGAGAGTGATGTGTCCTTCAATGATCACGGTATTATGGTCCTGGGCTCTGGTGTCTACCGCATCGGGTCTTCCGTCGAGTTCGATTGGTGCTCCGTTCGTGCTATTCGCACCCTGCGCCAGGACGGCTTCAAGACCATCATGGTCAACTACAACCCGGAGACCGTCAGCACCGATTACGACGAGGCCGACAAGCTCTACTTCGAAAACATCAGCTTGGAATCCATTCTCGATATCTATCAGCTGGAAGATGCTAGTGGTGTCCTCGGTGCCATGGGTGGACAGACCCCCAACAACATTGCTCTGCCGCTCCACCGTGCCGGCATTAAGATCCTCGGTACCTCACCTGAGATGATCGACAACGCCGAGAACCGCTACAAGTTCTCTCGCATGTTGGACACCATTGGTGTTGACCAGCCCACCTGGAAGGAGTTGACCAGCTTTGATGAGGCCAAGAAGTTCTGCAACGCTGTCTCATACCCTGTGTTGGTGCGACCGTCTTATGTTCTCTCGGGTGCCGCGATGAACACTGTCTACTCTGAGCAGGATCTCGAGAACTACCTGGCCCAGGCTGCAGAGGTTTCCCGCGAGCACCCTGTTGTCATCACCAAGTACATTGAGAATGCCAAGGAAATCGAGATGGACGCCGTTGCTAAGGATGGTATCGTCATTGGCCACTTCATCTCCGAGCATGTTGAGAACGCCGGTGTTCACTCCGGTGATGCCACCCTTATCTTGCCCCCTCAGGACTTGGAGCCCGAGACCATTGCCAGAATCGAGGAGGCCACTCGCAAGATTGGTGCTGCTCTGAATGTCACTGGACCCTTCAACATCCAGTTCATCGCCAAGGACAACGACATCAAGGTTATCGAATGCAACGTTCGTGCTTCTCGATCCTTCCCCTTTGTTTCCAAGGTCATGGGCGTCGACATGATTGAGATGGCCACAAAGGCCATCACCGGCAAGCCGTTCGAGGCTTACCCTGCCACCGACATTGCTCCCAACTGTGTCGGTGTCAAGGTTCCTCAGTTCAGTTTCTCGCGTCTGTCCGGCGCCGACCCCGTCTTGGGTGTTGAGATGGCTTCCACTGGTGAAGTTGCCTGCTTCGGTGTCGACAAGTACGAGGCCTACCTGAAGGCTCTGATGTCCACCGGGTTCAAGATCCCCAAAGCCAATATCCTTTTGTCCATCGGTTCCTACAAGGACAAGAAGGAGATGTTGCCCGCGATTGACAAACTTGCCCGCCTTGGCTACAAGCTGTTTGCTACTGCCGGTACTGCCGACTTCCTCCAGGAACACAACATCCCCGTTCAGTACCTCGAAGTCCTCGCCAACGAGCAGGAGGACCAGCGCTCCGAGTTCTCTCTCACGCAGCACTTGGCCAAGAACATGATTGATCTCTACATCAACTTGCCGTCCAACAACAAGTACCGTCGTCCTGCCAACTACATGAGTAAGGGTTACCAGACCAGACGTATGGCTGTTGACTACCAAGTTCCTCTTGTCACCAACGTTAAGAACGCCAAGATCCTCGTTGAAGCCATTGCCCGCCACTTCGGCCTCGAGGTTGGTAGCCGTGACTTCCAGACCAGCCACCGCACCATCTCTCTGCCTGGCTTGATCAATGTCGCCACTTTCGTACCTGGCATTGCCACTGCCGGAAGCAAGGATCTCCAGGCTGTCACCAAGGCCTCGATCTCTGCCGGTTTCAGCATGGTCCGCATCATGCCTGTTGGTGTCACTGGCTCGATAACGGACGCCGTCACCCTGAAGGTAGCCCAGCAGAGCAGCAAGCAGGGGGGATTCTGCGACTTCAACTTCTCCGTCACTGCCACCTCTGACAATGCTGACCGGATCAGCCATGTCACCGGTGAGGTCGGATCGCTGTTCATTCCCTTCAACCACTTGTCTGGAAACATCAGCAAGGTCGCTGCCGTCACTGCCCACTTCGACAAGTGGCCCGCGCACAAGCCCATCGTCACTGATGCCAAGCTCACCGACCTGGCTTCCATCCTTCTCCTGGCCAGCCTGCACAACCGGAGAATTCACGTCACCTCGGTCTCCACCAAGGATGACATCAAGCTCATTGCCCTTAGCAAGGCCAAGGGCCTGAAGGTCACCTGCGACGTGTCCATCTTCTCGCTCTACCTTTCGCAGGATGACTTCCCCGACTGTGCTCTGCTCCCTACCAAGGTCGACCAGAACGCTCTCTGGGCTCACCTGAGCACGATCGATGTCTTCTCTATTGGCAGCTTGCCTTACCAGCTCGCCAGTTCTCTGGGCAAGACCGCTGATCCCTCCGTTGGCATCGCTGACGCGCTGCCTCTGCTTCTCACTTCCGTTACTGAGGGCAAGCTGACCGTCGACGACATCAAGGCTCGTCTCTACGACAACCCCAAGGAGATCTTCGAGCTCCACGAGCAGGTTGGAACTAGCGTCGAGGTTGAGATTGACCGTCCCTATGCTGTGCACAACACGAACGGCTGGTCTCCTTTTGCTGGTCGCACGATGCGCGGTTCAGTTCAGCGTGTGACCTTCCAGGACCAGACCGTTTGCTTGGATGGCGAGCTGCTAGCTCTGCCTGCTCTTGGCAAGGACATGTCCACTCACGGCGCTCTGCCCATGTCCCCTGCCATGAAGCCTCAGCTTCAGTCTTTGACCAACCCCGACAGTCCCCGCGACCGTCGCCCGTCGCTGTTCAACACTTCCAGGCCCACGAAGCTTCGGCCCACCGACGGCTACTTGCCCAACAAGAGCAACAGTGGTTTCGAGGACCTAGGCCTTCCCGCGCCTCTTCACCCGGCCGTTGGCTCTAAGCTTCAGGACCTCCTGTCGCAGCCTTCGTCCTGGAAGAGCCACAGCTGCCTGTCTGTCAGCCAGTACACCCGTGCTGACCTCCACCACCTCTTCACTGTGGCCCAACAGATGCGTTTGGGCGTCCAGCGCGAAGGTGTTTTGAACGTTCTGCGGGGTCGCGTTCTCTGCACCTTGTTCTACGAGCCTTCGACTCGCACTTCTGCCTCGTTCGATGCCGCAATGCAGAGACTCGGTGGCCGCACCGTGGCCATTGCCACCTCCCAATCCTCGGTCCAGAAGGGCGAGTCTCTGCAGGACACTCTCCGTACCCTCGGTTGCTACGGTGACGCCGTCGTGCTCCGCCACCCTGACGAGCACAGCGTCGAGATTGCCAAGAGATACTCCCCCGTCCCTGTCATCAATGGTGGCAACGGCAGCAAGGAGCATCCCACCCAGGCCTTCCTGGATCTCTTCACCATTCGTGAGGAGCTCGGTACCGTCCAGGGTCTTACTATTACCTTCGTTGGCGATCTGCTTTACGGCCGCCCCGTTCACTCCTTGATCTACCTCCTCCGCGACTACGGTGTGCAGGTTCAGCTCGTCTCTCCCAAGGGACTCGCCCTGCCTGCTGATGTGCGCAACTTCCTGGTCGAGTCTGGCCAGCTCCTGTGCGAGTCTGAGGAGCTTACCCCCGAGATCTTGGCCAAGAGCGACGTGCTCTACTGCACTCGTGTCCAGAAGGAAAGATTCCCAACGGTGGAGGATTACGAGAAGGTCAAGAACTCGTACCGCATCGACAACCGCACACTCAAGTCGGCTAAGAGAGACATGTGCATCCTGCACCCTCTGCCGAGGAACGAGGAGATTGCGCCGGAGGTTGATACTGACCAGCGTGCGGCTTACTTCAGACAGGTAAGTCGTTTGACCCCCTGAAGATTTGAACAGAGTGCTGACAATTTGCATAGATGAGATATGGTCTGTACTGCCGCATGGCTTTGCTTGCGTTGGTTATGGCACCATAGAGGTGAACCAATTTCTTTTTGGCTTTCTTTCCTATTTGTATGGGGAACCTGGACTTGAGAAGAAAAGAAGCACACGTGCAAAAAAGTTTTTAGAACAGTTTGGTGTTTTAGGTTTTCGGGCTATTCCTTTTTTCGGGATAATAGTATAGACACACACAAAGTAGGAAGCAACTATTCCTCAAAACTGGCGTATAAGAAAACGCGCCGTCAGACGTCCGTTGGTTCGCGCCATCGCGACGTGGTGTAAGAGGGATTCATGTTTTTGGGGGTTTAGAGGTTGTTTTTATTTTATTCTTACATGTTTTGGGCAGTGCGTCTAGTGCGTTGCGTACGTCTGTTACGTGCGTTGCGTATTTAGCGTATCTGGATGACGATTACGATATGATACCCCCCCGTCGTATGCACGGAATGAAATACTTTTGTTTGGCCTGTTGCGTTGCGTGTGTGTTTTGCGTGTATATATGTGTTATACTTGTGCGTTCTATGTGTGAAGTGCCTCCGTTGTCATGAGGGTGTAGTCATCAAGTGGTCCGATCGGAGACAGCTGGGCTGACCCCTGCTCCGCACCTAAGGTAGCCCCGCAAAATGGAACCCCCGTTCTCAGGTGTTCCATCCCCCCCGTTGCTCTCCCGCCGCTGCGCGCTGAGCGGCTGCGCCTGCGCCTGCAATCCAGTGTGAGTGGAAGGATGGGTGGAACATTCTGCGGCTGTCTTGGGGCAGCATGAGATGAGGTGCTTGCCACGGAATGTGGGGCATTTTCTGGCTGCACACCTTGCCCCTCACTCAAATGCAAGCATCATGAGAGAAAGTCTGGTCCGGCCAGAAATCATGACAGGCAGCCTTTTAAACACGGAAATCGCCTCACTCTTACTCACCGGTGCGCACATTCAACACCGCACCCCTCCCTCGCAACATTGAGTGGCAGGCCTCCGAGCTGCATTGAACTGAACCATCTGTAGAACCATTCATTCCTTGTGAGTTGCTTTTCCGCTTGCTCATCGGCAAACAACCCCCCCTCAACCCCTCCATCAGCTGACGAAAGTGTGTACACAAGGAAAGCTTGGCAAACGAGAAGCATACTGCAAACTCAGCAAGTGATCTTCACCTTTGCATATGCGGCCCGGCTTCGCGTATAGATTTTCAAGGTCTCTCAAGATGGCATTGCACCCGCCTCCTGAGAGCGAGAAGCTCATTTGTAGGTTTTGTTGCTTTTGCTTGTGCTGCACTGCCTGCCTACCGTCTCGTCGAGAGAGCCATGATGAGGAGAGAAAGGCCAACCCACCACAACCGGCTTGGTCGGATTGCGCTGGATGATGAAGGGGGTTGACGAGGAGGAGGAGGAGGAGGAGGAGGATCACTCCCCGCCATGGACTCAGAACTGACATTGACCAGTCGCCCCCGCCGGTTCAGCCCAAAACACCCGCGCAGACCAATTCACCCTCTCCCGCCTCTCCCTGTCCTCCCTCCACCCAACCTCGCCAACGCACCAATTTAACACCTGGTTCACAGCCGCCCAAGAAACCCGCGCCGTCTCCCACCCAGAAACCTGCACCCTCTCCACGGCCTCCCTCCCCAGCGGCCGCGTCTCGGCCCGCATGGTCTACCTGAAAGAACTCGACGCCGCCGGCGGCTTCGTCGTGTACACGAACCTCGGCACCTCCCGCAAAGCAGCCGACCTCGCGACCAATAAGCACGCGAGCCTGACGTTCTGGTGGGAGGCGCTGCAGAGGCAGGTCCGCGTCGAGGGTGTCGTTGAGAGGTTGAGCGGGGAGCAGAGCCAGGTTTATTACGATACCCGCGTGCGCGGGAGCCGGATCGGGGCGTGGGCTTCGCGTCAGAGCCAGGTCCTTGAGCCGAGGGCTGATGTGAAGGGCGAGGAGGAAGGGGAGGCGGATGACGGGAGGGCGCAGCTGGAGGGGTGGGTGAAGGAGGTTGAGGAGAGGTTTGCGGGGCAGGAGAAGATTCCTGTGCCTCAGTTTTGGGGCGGGTTGAGGATCGTGCCGGATAGAGTTGAGTTCTGGCAGGGAAGGGATAGTAGGCTTCATGACAGGTTCGTGTATGACAAGGTTGAGGGTCAGGAGGACAAGTGGACTATCAACAGATTGAGCCCCTAGACTAAAGCAGGATGGATGCTCCTCCTTTGGTGTTGCAATAAATGTTGTTATTGTTGCTGTTGTAGGGTAAAGATGGCGTCACTCGTGCACAGAGTCTACTTCACACTGAATCACTGCAATGGACCAGAGTATAGAAGTGAGAAACTTAATGTTGTCTTTCCAGGACTACATTACCAAATAGGGTATGATAAAAGATAACCATGATTTCCAGTGACGTGACCCTGATCCTCATATCCGATGAATCCTATCCGCCTTTTACGCCAGCCAACCAATCGCCCAAGAAATTACAAGATGCATACCCGTCGAGCCCGTATCGAGGCCGAGGTTTTGGTATCCTAAAAAGTCAAGCTTTGAAACAAGATGTTGCCCCCAATGTACAAGCCAAAGGCTCATGCAGATATACCGTTCAACTGAATGTCCTCAGCATCCCGCGGGGCATGTAAATCAATTACCATGACAGTCAAACAGAAACGCTCGCTCGCTGATTGTTCTTCTTCCCCTCGTCACGTTGTTTGAAATCTTCGTCACATCTCCTCGCCTACTGGAGACAAACCAATGTCGTTGCCAGAAAAGGTCAGAGACATGTAATCCCCACCAAAGGAAGTCTTCTCGAGAGCTGCACGCACTTCGTCGCCAAATGACTCAACTTCAGACTTGGGCGTGTCGACGGGCGTGAGCTGTAGGCCCAGGCCAATCACGGCGGTACTGATGGTCATGCTCTTGCTCTTGCTGTGCCCCATCTCGTGGGGTTGAACGGGGCGGGCCGAGTTGTAGTGCCGTGCGGCCAGCTGCATGTCAACCATGGTGTCGGCGAGCAAATCCTCATCGTCGACTAAGGGCTTAATGCGGTAGTTGAGGTTCTCACAGATGCAACGTTCCGTCACGTTGATTTGCTCGCACGACCAAGTGTCCTTGCCCCAATTTGTGGAATAGTATGACGTTGAGTCGTGGCAGTCGTCGGTGAATTTGGCGGCGATAATGAGGGCAGACAATATGATGAGCTCGGGTTGGACAGAGTCGATATGCAACTGCTGCTGACGCCGGCGGTCCAGGAGAGGGCTGTGGCCAAGAGTGTGGCGTTTATTGTAGGAGGAGCCATCCACGAGCAGGGGGCACTGCAGACGCCAGCTCAAAGCGAACCTGGAGTTGAGAGAGTCGAGGATGCAGACGGCCAGGGCGATGGTCTGGAGCGGGAGCCCGGACCGGCTGAGCATGGCCTGCACGAGAGGCACCGACGGGGTCGTGAGGGAAGCTGACGTGGGAACGAGGTTGACGAGATGGATGGCGGGGCCTGCAAGTGCGGAGAGGTTAGCATTGCATTGCATATGATATATTGCATTTGGAGCACCCCATCGAACGAACGAGCGTTAGAGCGCACGGAGGAGAGTTGTCCAAGCTCCTATCCCCATCACGTAATTCGGCTGTACTTACCAAGAAATTTCTGTTGCAGGATGTCGCCTTCTTCCAAGGCCGTTTTCGGGCTCTGGTGGGCGGAAGAATTCCTGGATGAAGGTGGCGGGGTGGGAAGGTTGGAGAGCGGACGATAGGTCAAGTAGGCGTCCTCGGCTCCGTATTCATCGTCCGAGTAGTCGGTGTTCTGAACCTGTCTCGCCATGTTGCCCATCTTGTCTCGTGTGTCTTGTGCCCGCGGCTCTTGGTCTGAGATATTGGTTGTGTGGAATGTGTATGCGAAGTGGCTTCCGTTTTATAACAGCAGCGGGACGGGTAAAATTATCTGTTGGTGGATCGTGTTGGTCGTGGGTGGTGAAAGTCGTAAAAGCCAGCTTTTCCTGTCCTCGGTCCTGGGCAGTAGGGGGTGCTGCTCATATTCGTATGCAGCTTGTAATCGGGTGTGTGATTAGGGCAGCAACTCGTACTCGGTCGTAAGGTACGTGATTACGCAACGTTGGGTTGGACAGGTGAGTGGGAGAGTACAAGAAGAGAGGCTTGATCGAGGAGGGAGGTCGGGGTGGTATATGTAGTAGATGGTGGATGATGGACGGGCGTGGGATTGGGACTGGGATTAGGATTACCAGGTCCGAGTACATCAGAAAGGGGGTTCGAGAAATCCAGATGGCCGTAGTTGTAAGTTATGCAGGGTTCATAAAGTGAAGTAAGGCTGAGTCGGGTTTGGGAAACGAGTCGCGAGGAGCGGGAAGACGGACGGGCTGGCTGGAGTTTGGGAGGTATTTCGGCGGTGGGCGATGCACCAAGTGGACTGGGGGGGCCTGGGGGGGCCTGGGGGGAAGGACGACGCTGGAGACGAGAAACATGGACGGAACAACTGGGACTGGATTGGTGGGTGGAGGTATAGTGCAAAATGGTCCGTGTTGATGCGATGCTGCAGCGCTTGTTAGTGGAGGCGGAAGGGGAGTCTCCCTCTGTAAGGTAAGGTATGCTCTGTGTCCAAGCCCCCCCTGTACAGAGTATCCGTACCCTTCGTATGTACCTCTTGAGTACCTTTTCTTTGGCAACTCAGTTTTCTTTCACTCCTTCACTTTTAGCGTGCTATCTGAGCGGGATCATCAGGTTTGGCGTTTTCTCTGGTGTCTCTGAGTGTCCTTTTTTTTCTTCCTTCTTCTCACACACCCCCCTATCTCGGGAGCTTTGCTTTCGGTAAGGTAGCTGGCGAGTGGTGAAGGAAATAGACGGCACGGATAATCCGTAGGTGAGGACTGAAGACGACATGGACGAGGGCCGAAAAGAGAGCAACAAGACAGGGGTACAACGGCAACTTGGTAAGGGAAACGAGAAGGAAACCCCGGCAATGGTCCTCTTTTCCCCCTCGGCTCTTTAGCGTATCTGCAAGAACGAGGGCAGGGGGGAATTTATGTGGACAATGTCAACGAATGGGGTCGGGAAACGCAGAAGAAGCGAGAAATTGGGAATACGGGCACAAAACATGGTGACAAAATGCGGCAAAAATGGCCAGTCGGGCGCGGAAACCCAACAACCACATAAGTCACTCTGCGGATATACTTCTATAGGTAGTCTGAAAGAATCCCCTTCTCCCGCATTCATGAGCATGGTTTATCGAGTATCCGCACGGAGTAGTGTCGTCCGGTCATGGCAAATCAAACACGCGAGTTTTCGGTAGAAAGACATGAGCACTCAGCAGACTCATCTCACCTCATCACTCAAATTCCCATTTGATATGTATGGATTGCCAGAGTCAGACAAGAATACCACGCTCACACAGGTTGCCTTACCCAGCAGCGGTGATACCCGGTCGCCTTCCGCAGCTCTGTGTATCCGCCCCGGCGATAGATATTTAGTTAGTGACGGTGGCTGACGCAACGCAAGACAGGCATCCCGGCTTCGGGAATATTGCGTCGACGTTGGCAAATTTGTTTCCTTTCCGCCATAGTATTAGGTATGTAGACGAAACGCTCGCGTGCGTCCTGCGCAATGTGCACCCTGGGCGGCAAAGGCAGGCCGCAGTCAGTCTTGTTGATGATGCTTGCTGGCTTACCTTATTCCCTGACCTCAGATCATAACACACCCAGCTATGTCCTCCTCTCTCTCCCCTCAGAACGCCAGTACATGGCATGACATGATGACGTTGGACGTGTGGACGGCAATTGGTCTGGTCGAGCGTCCCCTCATCAACCCATCCTGATGATGCCAGTGCCAATGCTGCCATCCCGTCTTGGATCTTGCTCGCCCTGTCTCTGTCGTCTGAGTTGAAGAGCATCCACCAAAACCCGTCATGAGCATCTCCTAGCTTACAGCCTACAACTGTCAATCAGATGCAAAAGCATCCATGAGGTGTGGCAGCTCTTAGTCGCCGTGTCTCCGTTTCCCCCATGCCTCGTTGCCTATCCGAGAAGGAATCGAATCGGGGAAAAGAAAAACAAGACAGGCTGCTCAAGGCTCAAACAGGCGGCCCAGTTCTGTTTGACCAGGCACATCCAGGAACGGCGGCTTCGTCACACGGATGGTCGATCGGATGGTGCCATTGCCATCCATTGTATCCTGACTGGTGGTATTTTCCGATGGACCACATGGATACGGGAAAGCCAAGCAAACGTTGCTGCACTCCCAAGGCGTTCCCAAGGAGAAACTCTCGCACAACTTGCCCTTTGGTCACTGGTGTCGTGTGTTGCGCGTTTATTTGCAAGTGTGTTGTTTTTCGGGGTGAGGGTTCCTGACCAGCAACCAGGGACAGCCCGGCCGTGTCGTCTGGCTGGTCTGGCTCACGGTGACGACAGACTCAGCGAGTGCTCATGCGGGTGTCACAGGGTGTTCGTCCAGTGGGTTGGGGTGGGGATTGTAGGCCCGAAGGACCCGCAGGAAGCTGGGCTGAGCTGGTGACGGAGCGAGGAACGTACTGTTTGGGTCTCTCCCATCGCCAGCCAGAAGACCGGTACCTACAATAGTACACCAGACTCCCAGAGTGAGGGCTAGGGTGAACCGAAGCCGCCTTACCTAAGCACCCAGAATACTTGAGATGGTTGAGGGTACCCATGGGGAGGAGGTACAACGAGGTGACGAGGTGAGAGGAGCAGCGGTGGACTCACCAACCAGGCACGTATGCGGCCCCGGTACCTACCTCGTCGCATTTCGGGGACGCCTTCTGTGACCTGTCACTTTGCCTGGTGGATGATGGATCTCTTCTCATCCGCTTCTCCATTCTCCAACAAGACAACATCTGATGCGACAATCCGATTGTGTGGGCTCTGAGCCTCTGGATGGAAAAGGCGGCATCTCTTCACCGCAGGCGGTCAGCCTCAAGGAGAGGCAACCTCCAGACCCATTGATTTGCCTGTCCAACTACACACACCTTGACTCCCTTGCAAAAGGAAATGTAAGGTACGCTCAAACACCACCCTTCGTATCGTGGTGGAACTCCAGAAGTACCTCAAAAGTACATCTTCTTGATTCCACCAGTCCAAGGTCAGTCCAACTGACCTCCCGAGGTAGAGGCTGTCCGTCTATCCGCCCGCTCAGACTGTCCACGATCTTCTCACGGTCTCACCCCTCAACCACCTCGCCACGAA